CAAACAAGAATGAACAATCAATGGTCATTAATATCCCTCAACATCAATGATCTTAACTTGCCTATAAAAAGACACAGATTAGCTGAATGGATAAAAAGACAGAATCCATCCTTCTGCTGCTTATAAGAAACACACCTCAAATTCAAAGACAGACAGTACCTAAGAATTAAAGGTTGGGAAAAGATTTTCCAATCAAATGGACCCAAGAAAAAAGCAGGGGTAGCAATCTTCATATCCAACAAATTGGACTTTAAACTAAAATCAATCAAAAGAAATGAAGGAGGTCACTTCCTACTCATCACAGGAGAAATTGATCAGGATGAAGTCTCAATTCTGAACACTTATGCCCCAAATACAAAGGCATCCAGGTTTGTAAAAGAAACATTACTAAAACTCAAATCACACATAAAACTGCGCACAATTATAGTGGGAGACTTCAACACCCCACTCTTACCACTGGCCAGGAACACCAGACAGAAACTTAACAAAGAAACAAAGGAACTAATAGAAGTTATGGCGCAATTGGACTTAACAGATATCTATATGGATGGAACTAGAAGAAACCATTCTGAGCGAGGTAACCCAATCACAAAAAGACAAACGTGGTATGTACTCACTCATTTGTGGATTTTAGACATAAAGTGTTCAACATCCTTAATCATCAGGGAAATGCAAATCAAAACAACTCTGAGATACAATCTTACTCCTGTCAGAATGGCTAAAATCAAAAATACCAATGACAGTTTATACTGGAGAGAATGCGGAGAAAGATGAACACTCCTCCACTGCTGGTGGGAGTGCCAACTTGTACAGCCACTGTGGAAATCAGTATGGCGACTCCTCAAGAAAATAGGAATGAGTCTACCACAAGATCCAGCAATTCCACTCCTAGGCATATACCCAAAAGAAGCACATTCATATAACAAGGCCATCTGTTCAATTATGTTCATAGCAGCATTATTTGTAATATCCAGAAACTGGAAGCAGCCTAGATGCCCCTCAACCGAAGAATGGATAGAGAAATTGTGGTACATTTACACAATGGAGTACTACTCAGCAGAAAAAAAACAATGGAATCTTGAAATTTGCAGGAAAATGGATGGAACTCGAAGAAACCATTCTGAGCAAGGTAACCCAATTACAAAAAGACAAACATGATATGTACTCACTCATATGTGGACCTGCTTTATGATACACAGTAGTGACCATGCTTTATCAGAGCTGTTTTTAATGATGTTGCTCAGAATGGTTTCCTCCCAGATGATGACTGAGAAGCTAATTTAAAAAAAATGGTGCCAAGTACCACAAGAGTAACAGAACTGTGCTGTTTTCTGGGATTTTGTTTTTTACTTTTTTGTTGTTGTTTATTGTTTGTTTTTTAAATGGAGTGTGTTGATGTCTTTACAATTTTGTTCAAATGTCTGCAGAACCTGGAAAACCTGTTGCTGCTATTCATGCATAACATATTGCCATTATTACTCTCTCTCTCTATATATATGTATATATGTATATATATATGCTAATTGAAACTCAAATATGTGATGAATCCAAGGTGTTTCAGTGAGTGCTCACCTGTGCATGCAAATTTGATTTCATCTTTAGTAAGTAGTAAAATTATATGCTTTCCAAAAAATAAAATAAGTGACACACTGGAAGACAAATGTCACACAATTTCAATTTTATGAGTAACCTAGAAATGATGAACTTATGGGAGCAGAGAGCAGAATTGTAGCTATTAGGCTTCAATGTGGGTCTTTTAACAATGGGGAAATGATTGGTTTAAGGATATAAAACTGCAGTTGGACAAGAGGCATGGACTCTCTGAAGTCTTGAGGTCTACTGAGAGCATGATAAATATGGTTGATAACAATATGCTATATTTTAAAAGTTGTGAGATAGTATACTTTAAGTGTTCTCAAAAAATGATGAATATGTGTGATATAACATGTTAATTGGTTTAATTTAGCCATGCAATTGTGAACATACTGTATTGTGTATCATAATTGTGCATGACTTTATTTATGAGCTAAATAAATGAATGGAAGAAAAAAAATAAAATAAAAAAATAAAATAAGTCGCTTGTAATTAGATACATGTGGGGCGCATATATTCCCAAACAGTGTCTTCAAAGTTGTTTTGGTTTTATTTTATCTGTTTTATTCTATCTTATGCCCCCATGTTTCTCTCTTTCCTTTGCATGTGTGCACATGTATGTGCATGGGTGTGCTCATGTATGCAGGTGTGTGGAGACTGGAGGTTGATATCAGGATGCCTTCCTTAATTACTTCTTCACTTGACTGGTTGGTTGGTTGGTTGGTTGAGACAGTCTTTCATTGATCCTGGAGCTCACAGATTGGCTAGGCTGGATATCTAGCAAGGTCCCAAGAGCCATCTATCTCTGCCCCCTAGCGCCCGGGGTCACAGACTTGTGCCACCTCATCTGGCTTTTACACGGGTGCTGAGGATCTACACTCAGGCTTTCATGCTTGCTTGCACAGGAGACATTTTGCACACTTTGCCAGCTCTGCAGGCTGTAAAAGCAGCCTCAGAGGTTGCTTTTACAGAGTGTATCGGATGATAGACATGAGCTCTGAGCCTGATGTGTGCATGTGAATCTCCTCTTGGCTTTTACCTGTACTAGTCTGAGCTGGCATTGCTGTACCAACAGTCCCCAGGTTCGTCCACCGAGAGGCAAGTCCAGCTTTTGCTACAGCCCGCTGGTAGTTGTCATAGAGGGTCTTCCCATACTAGGGAGGGAACACAGAGAGGGGAAAGAAATCCATTTATGTCAAAGTTTGCACTCAGTGGCAAGATATTTATTGAGAGAGAAAAAAGTGCCATTATTTTCCTGGTTCAAGTTGCCTTTTGGGGGGTGTACTTCACTGATTACTCTTTCACATGTTAAGTAATTTTCTAGATTACCAGGAGTAGCAAATTCTCCGAGCTACACATCAGAGGATAGGGCTAGCCACAAAATTCTGATCACAAGCCTTGATGTAACTATTTTGTGGAGTTAACCGTCTTCCTTTGCTCGTTCCCTTTTTACTGTGGGATCAAACTTGGCCTCACACAGGCTAGGCAAGAGCTCTACCACTGAGGTACACACCTGTGGCCAAATCTTGAGTTTCTTTATTGCATATTATGTTTGCAGTTCTCTCTGAATCTGAAAAGTTTGTTTGAAAGTTAACTCAGGCCACTGGACAGGTGCGTGCTTGTACCGTCAATGCTATACAATAGAAGGTGAATGACTCCGTTTACTGGGGGGAGCAAATAGATGAGACAACATCTGTACCCAGGAGTGGCAAAATGCTGGCCCTAGTAAGCAAGCTTGTTGGCTAACCCAAGACCATGTGAAGCTGAGTGCACACTCACCTTGGCAATCCTTATTCCCATAACCCACTGTCCGAGAGTTCTTGCATCATCACAGCAGAGATATTTGATATAATGAGATTCCTTCTGGATTTGAGGATGCTACAAAGAAGCAGATTTGAAGACAATTAATAGATTCAATTTATTAAGAGCCTAAAGCACTTTTCAAAATAAACCTTAAAGGAAAACTTTGACAAATATGATTTATTGAGATGCTGGCAAAAATTACTGGCAGCAGTTTTAGGATCAGGAAGAGACAGAGGTGTCATTCTGAAGCCCAAGCTGGCCTTGAACTCGTGATCATCCCACCTCAGTCTTCACAATAGTTAGATTACAGGCTAGCACACCCAGCTGTAGGTGTTTTTGCAAATTGCTAAACTGGCAGCCTTTTGGCATAGGCCTGCAACCTCAGCTATTGTGGAGGCCGAGGAAGGACTGCTTGAGAAGCATAATGAGATCTTGTCTCAAAAGTAACAGGTGCCAAAGAGGCTGAGGGGTGTACTTCAGTGGTGGTACATTTGCCTAGCATGTGTCCATTCCCAGCAGTATTCCTTACAATGTATGTCAGTGATAACTATTCCTCTCTTTTAAATATTGGAATCCTTCATATATGTCATGTGTCTGTCCCTCATTGGAAACTAAATTGCTTCACTATCAGATAAAGGAACTTACCTAATAGACATTTTGTGTCACAATACCAATGCTTATAAAAATTATTGTCTTATTTTTCCCACCCCCAAATTTAGCTCAGGGGTTATTTCTTTTGTGAGAATTCAGAGTTTTGCACTGATCTCTCATTTCTAACAATGATCTCACATCCACATGGGCACATCCTTAAGTGACAGTGTGTGTGTGTGTGTGTGTGTGTGTGTGTGTGTGTGTGTGGTTATACAGGCTCCAGGAGCTCACAAGAGAACAATGATGTGTAGCTTCCCTGCAGCTCTCTCTCTCTCTCTCTCTCTCTCTCTCTCTCTCTCTCTCTCTCTCTCGCGATTCCCTTGTCCTTTCAGCTTCTGTTTCAGTTTGGCTCTAACTGAACTCTCTATTGGATAGGAACTTCACCTGTCTTACTTATTGATGGAGATCTGTGGTACTTAGCCATGCCTGCATATGGTAAAACTGCAGTCTTGATGTAAAAATAATTGCTGAAAGAAACAAATAAGCACAGCACTTACTATTGTATCTAACATATTGATGCTCTATGGTAAGAGGCTGGTAACCAAACCTGAGGTCTGAAATGTGTATCATGCCCATCTTCATGGATAATTATAACTTCTATTACAATTTATTGTATAAAAACTACCAACTAAAATCTCTCTCTCTCTCTCTCTCTCTCTCTCTCTCTCTCTCTCTCTCTCTTTTCTCTCTCTCTCTCTGTGTTTCCTCAGAGCAGCTTGCTAGTCTTGCCAGGAGTATTAAAGATCAGAGAAGCCGGCAGATCTGGGAGAATCTACCTCTGGCTGCCATGGGCAGAAAAGGAGTGAGGCCCCAATTCCTCTCTAAGGCGCTGCATAGACCTCTCCACTCTTGCATTCAGCATACTCATCAACCTTCAGGAAAGTGGCTAATTTTCAAAGGTGATCTGAGAACAGGGCACTGAGCCTTTGAACTTCAGCTGGAATTTGAGGGAAAGCATGTGGACTGGCTGGCTGCCCTGCTGGCCTTCTGATGTCCTAGCATTGTGTTCAACCTGCTTAACCCCTGCTTCTCGCCTCCACCATCCCCACCCTCCATGAGACACATATAGACTGTAAAAGCTTGGAAATTTAGTTATTTCTGGCCTTAAAAATGATAAAAACTGATGACTGGAGAGCTTCCTATATGTCTCTTGACCTCCTAGAATTTCTGAATGTATACTGAGCCACTGAAGACAAAAACAACAAAAACAAAACAACAACAAAAAACCCAAAACAAGTTTTAAAGATACTTCAGGAAAAAAAGAAGTCAGAAAACATAAAGAACTCCTGTCTGCCTGTCTGTGGTCTTTCATGGCAACTGAGAAACTTCTAGTTGGATTGCTTCCTTTATTTAGGCCTTTCAACCCTCAGAATTTACATCAGCTGGTCTGAAAGCCAGCATCTATCACTAAGGTCCCCACCAGATTCCTCTTTCCTGACTCCACCCAGTACTCGGATTGTTGCTGTAGTTCTCCAGGTGGGCCAGGAGGTGGCGGCAAACACTTTTGGATGGCTGCCGTACACTGCTTTGTTCTTGTGTTCAAAGCTTGCTCAAAGATTTCTCAGTGTCCAGTTTTAGTACTGTAAACGTTACTACAATGACCATGTTCTCTGAGGACCTTAAAATTGGAAATGTCAATCAAGTCAAGTTGTGTGGTCCAATAGCAAAAAAGGATTTGTTTGTTACATGAATTAACCCTAAAGGCCAGATTGGTAAAGCTGTGAGGCAGACACATGGGACCTGGAATGTGACTTTTCATAAATGCCTGCAGCATTCCCTACAAAGAAATCTGCAGAACCAGATCAAAGTGCTTGTCTTGCAGCATCAGAACCACAGCTGCCTGCCCTACAGCAGTTTTCATTCTGACTTACACGTGAGAGGGGCGGTGGTCTTGTCAGTAATTAATATTTAAGTTCTTCTTACAAAGCACCGGGCATGAGAGTGATGGCTCAACAATTAATAGGGCTTGTGACACAGTCCTGAAGACCAGCATCTGGACCCCAGCACTCACATAGCAACCTGGACATCCCCACAAACACCTGCACCCCCAGCTCCAGGAGGGCAGAGACAGGAGGATAGCTGGGGTTTACTGGCTCCCAGCCTAGCTGAGAAATGAGGCCCATGTTCAGGAAGAGACCCTGTCTCAACAGAATAGGCAGAAAGTCTTAGAAGAAGATGCCAGAGGCACTCCGATGACTTCTGTTTTTTTTTGTGTGTGTGTACTTGCACACATCCATACACTTGTATGCACATAGATTTTGTAGATATGTAAAGAAATAAGTAAATAAAGTAATGAAAAAGAAAATGTCTAATTTTTCCTTCTGCAACATTTAGAAATTTGATATTGTCACCTTGGGCTTATTATTACTGTTAAATATTCCATTAACTTTTGGTTTTGAGCATATCCTATGGGTCAAGTTCTCAGAAGAGTCTGCAGACTGTGCTTGTAATGAAATTCACTGATTATTTTTTTGTGTAGGGGTGTCCATTCCACTTAAGCATCACAATAAACTATTTGTTAAGTATGTTGTCCACCTAAATATAGTCAAGTATGGTCATACCCTAAAATCAGATGGCTTTTGACATAAAAAAGAGACCTCTATATTCTTTCCAATCCACCAATTTTGTGGTTCTGAGGTGAGTTAGTTGGTGGACACCAAGTTCACAGTTTGGAGATGCTTCAGACGAAGTCTCAGAGCCTGTCACAATGCTTGCTCTGGTCACCTCACTTTACCTAGGAGCTCACTTCCTTATAACTCAGCCTTTGGATGGGAATGCTACGCCCACGGCGGTCACGCCTGTGTAGCAGAAGATGCCACTAAGGCGGGTTAAGGCCGCTGGGTTGGGGTCTGTGCTCCCCGGAGATGAGCCCCAGGCGGTTCCCTGGTGATCATGATGCCCAATGAGTCAACTCGAAGCAGCTGTCATTGGTGCCACTGCAGCCTCTTCTTCCTTGTCTTTTGTTCTGTGTATTTCTTGTGTCTTGCCAGCAAACTACACTGATGTTAAAGGAACATCTGAGGACATGCTAAACTCTGTCCCACCGTTTATCAAAGCCTTTGCTGAAGTGGCCAGTTTAGGGAATAAGATGGATGAATCATGAGGGAAAAAGACAGCTTTAGAAAGACTTGCCTTTCTTAAAAAGAATAGCTAGATCTAGAAAGCCCTGGTGTAGATGGGATAAAAAAGAGAGAAAAGAAGTATTAGAAAGCATGAAGCCAACATTAAAATACTGAGTGACTTTATAGAAAGGGTTTGATAGACTTCATGATGTAGAAGAACTTTATGAGGCTTATTTTACAGAAGACTTAGACTCTGAGGTCTAAAGATATCTGGGGCCAGAAAATCAGGAAATGGGTAAGAGACATGGTTGGTGGTATGAGACAGATTTTGGAGAACTCTTAGATCATGTCTTTGGGCAATGACCACAATCTGAAGCTGAGAATAGATCATCTATAAACAATTTTGCTGTTCTTTTTCTTTCTGTTGTATGATCTGGTGATGTAGCCCCCTTGCCAAGTTCCCTGATCCCCCTTGCCAAGTTCCCTGATTGTAACAGTATATAAGCATTGCTTGAGATGAAGTAAAATTGCAGCAGCATATTCAACTACATTGAGTGTGTCTGTCTGTCATTTCCTCGCCGATTCCTGATTTCTCCTTGAGCCTTCTCCCTTGTTCCCCTCGGTCGGTGGTCTCCACGAGAGGCGGTCCGTGGCATGGGAAATCACTTGCAAAAGGGCTTAAAGAAAACACTGGATCAATGTCACTGGCCAAAGTGTTCCTCAAGATCCTGTTGTCCCTGATCTTGCACAAGAGATGCTTTTAGGGTGTGGCACAGCATGTCAGGTCAAGGCCATCCTAGCAACGTTCTTGCTAAAAGGGATCCTAATGTCCTCTAAGCTTACAAAACAAGCAAAAAGAGCATGGGACAAGGTTAAGCAACTTGTCTCCAGATTAAAGTAATATCAGAATCAAAGGTGGAATGAAATCCCCTTTTGTTCAGCTCCTGGGAGCTGACAAATATAATCCCTGGAAATAAAAACAGATGACTCACACCGTAACTGGGGAGTGATGGCAGGAGGAGACAAATGTGAACAAATCTGTGATTATTCTCTGATTTCATAATAAAAGTTTGGAAAGGGCTGAAAAGACTTTTTGAATGAGTGTTGGGATGTTTGGGGAATGTCAAGAAGTTCTATGGAAAGTGTGGAAAGAGGCAGAATCTGAGGAGGAAAGGAGTTGTCATCTAGATCCCTTAGCTGAGGCTGGACTGTTTCTAGGATCTGGGGGCTACTGGGTATTTTAAAAGAACAGTCACAAATGGGAGACATTGGTACAAAATCAGAATGACTTTTGCCCCAAGGATCAGATGAGATGCGGCAAGATGAAGGGGTTTGAGGGTTGTCTCTGTTCATAGCTGTAGCAGATGGCTATTACAGATTTGTGTCTGCTGTAAAAGAAGTGCTGCCCCACTGTGTATGAAGTGTGTTTGTAGACATCATCCATTTAGAAGAGTTCATACTGAATCCTATGAATCTCCTTCTTTACCAGAAAAGGAGAAGAAACTGACACAGACATTCACAATGAAGATGACCATGCCCTGATGCACAAAGGTATTTTTATCATGTGGCTGTAAGACAAGGAATACAAAGACAGCTGGAAACTTCCAGAACCCAGAGAAAAGGCACAGAACAGATGTCCTTAGACTTCTCTGCAAATAACTCAGCTTTTTTCTTTGTTCCTTTTTGAGACAGGGCCTCGGTTGCCTAGGATGGCCTTGAACTTGTGATACTTCTGCCTCAGACTCCTTAGTGTTGGTAGTCACCATGCCAGGCTCTAGCTGATTTTTAGCGTGTGTGTGTGTGTGTGTGTGTGTGTGTGTGTGTGTGTGTGTGTGTGTGTGAGTATGTGTAGGTCAGAAGACAACACAACTGATGGGAATCAGTTCCCTCCTGACACCAAGGTTCCAGATACTGAACTCAGGTTATTAATGTCTTGCATAACAAGCAATCTTCCCCCAACCCTGGTTATGATTTTTTTTAAACACAAGAACACTAAATCTCTATTGCTTTAAGTCAATTAATTAGTACTATGTTAGTGAAGGAGTGAATGGGAAAATACTGTAGGGGTGACGGGACTACTAGGTTTGGGAGCAATTGCCAAGAGAGGGGATCTGCAAGGGTGGAGAGGAGCTTGGGCTATTGAGGTGATGGATGAGGTACCTGTTGGATTTGTAGTCACTACAGGTAAGAGAAGGAGAAAGAATTACCGTAGATTGGGAATATTTTGCATGTAGGTAGTAGCTAGATCTGTGACTAGGACTATGAATTCTCAGAGACAGCAGTGGTAGGGTAAAGATCACGCTCAAGCACACTCAAGGCCAAGCATATATGGCCTCTGCTCTCTTCTTGGCTGTAAACCTGCGGGTTTCTAGGAATTGTAAGCAGAAACCCCATTTACAGTAAAACACATGTTTTAACTGCCTTGCGCAATTCTTGTGGCTGATGTTTTGCTTTGTGAGATTGTAATCCCATCCCAAGGTATCTTTGGAGCTACCCTATACTCTCATTTACCAGAAAGAGAGAAAAGGCTTCTTAGCAACCCTTAAGATATAACATGACAGCCACTAAGATGGACATGAGTCTCCTTTGAGAAGCCCACAGCCATTGGAGTGTGTCTTATCACATTCATTCTAGCAATCCTGTGCTTAACTGTATGCTAATCTTTCTTCTAAATAACCCCCAACTCTACTTCAAGTAGCTTCATCCTAAAATTCTGTCTGCAGACAAATCAAGAATCCAGCCTCACCCAAGGAGGTCTGTGAGAATAAGGGAACCCCCCTGGTTGCTGGCAGCCATTCTGGGCTGCACCATCACTAACAGTCTGGAAGAAGAGAGCCACACTGCTGAGCTCTCATCCTGACTTGGCCAATCAGAGCTCAAGTTCTGTATTCACTAATGAAATGCTCTATAACAGTTTGCCATTATTCTCATTGTCCTTTCAATATGAGCAGTGAGTACAGACATGCAAACTTGGAAGGAGGCAAGACGTTCTTGTCCTCCTGACCTAAACAGAGTGTGGCCTTAAGACCTTTGCACTTAAGGGTCTCTCTCCTGGAGTGTTTTCTCTTCAGTTCCAATTGCCCTCTTGTTTCATTTATGTCTTTTGTCAAACGTCACTATCTTTTCCTGACTATCCCACCCAAGGCTCTGTCCCTTACCCTGCTCTGTATTGATTCCCCAGAAGTATTATTTGTTGACTGACAACACATTATAATTTTTTCTTCATGGCCAATCCCCCATACTGACCATAAACTCAATGGGAATAGGAATTATTGTACATTAGTTTACTTCTGTGTTCTCTGCACTCAGAATATACCCAGAAGATAGCTTCCATTCAGTAACTATTGAGGGAGAGAGTGAGTGAATGAATCTAGCCCTCTGTGCTGCGTCAGTCTCTTTACAGCCATGGTTCTGGGTGATACCTGATGAGCACAGGATTTCTCAACAGTAGCGCTGTCAGTATTTGAGGTCATGTCATTCTTTGTACAGGCTTGTTTTGTGCAGCTGTGATATTTAATGGTTTTGGCTTCTAGTAGATGCCAATAAATAGTAGTACCTGGTCTCTGTTGCAAGTTATGAACATCAGAATGTCTCTAGACATCAGAAAACATCTACCAGGAATCAAAAGGTCCTGGGTGAGAACCACAGGGGAAGTGTCATGCTGACTAGGCTGGCATAGTGTTCATTATTGTTAACATTATTGATAAATTACTAAAAGTTTGGTGCATAGTAATGGAAAGACCAGGATGTCTAAATAAAAGGCACATAATTTTGAGTCCTTAAGGAAGCCAGGAATCCCAGGCAATTATTTGATCATAATAAGCAATGGTAATTGTGGATGGAGAAAAATTATTGAATATGATTGACTTGGCTGAATTATTATATTAGACTAAGAACAAATGCAAACAAACTTACCTTGGTCTTAAATCCAGAGCTCTGGAGGCCAAAAGATACTTGATACATCAAGTGTAGGTACAAAATAACCATCCACTCACTTGAGTGGCCTGAGATTCTAACTTAAAACATGTAAGTGAATCAAAATCTCAGATAGTACATATTTCCTTCTGACAGTGTGCACCTTTAAAAGTTTCAAAACCTAAACCTGGCATGGGGGTGCCCACCTGTATAGTCCCAGCACTTAGAAGGTGAAAGTGAGAGAGTCAGGTCCCTAGGATAGTCTCAACTACACAGTCACTTTGAGGCCAGCCTGGGATACATGAGACTTAAAAAAAGTTTACAACCTGGGTAATTATTTTTTAAAGTGCTCTCTGTAATTTTCCCCTAGGAAACATTGGCAAGATAAATTCAAAAAACTTGGTACAGTGGAACAAGAATATAATAAATAAGTAAAGAATTGAAAACTAGGTTTTTTTTGTTTTTTTTTTTTTTTGTTTTTCGAGAAAGGGTTTCCCTGTGTAGCTTTGGAGCCTATCCTGGCACTCACTCCGGAGACCAGGCTGGCCTCGAACTCACAGAGATCTGCCTGCCTCTCAAGTGCTGGGATTAAAGGCATGCGCCACCAAGCCTGACAAAAACTGGTGGTTTTATTAATGTAATTTTAAGTTAATTTACACAAAACATGGAACTTAGATTTCTAGAACTGATAAAGGCCCAGACAGACTTGAACTTTTAGGATCAGACGACAGGCTTTTGGGGACACAACAATTTGATAGCTATCAGAGCACTTCATTATTTTGGTTTAAAACTACACATTTCATGACACCATACTTAAAATTTATGAAATAACATTTACCATTTTTCTTAGAAGCAAATAATGATTGAAATGGCTTAGAAGTCTAAATCAGTAGCTCATGACATACCTTTAGAACAAAGCAGTGGTCAGTGGGTGCTTTGTATTTCAGTTTACACTGAATCCCATAGTAAATGTTTACATTTTCAAACTGTATAAAACACGCCAGATCTCGGGATGTCTAAAAGACAGGGAAAACAAAATCTCTCTGAGATGGTAGTTGCTAATTTCCCCAGATTCTTCTTGGTGCTGCAACAAAGGATTTTATTTCAGTAGATAAAATATGGAGTTTTAAGATAATTTGTACGAACATGTTCTGTACATGGTTTCCTTTAAGTCAAGCCTTCATAAAAGACAACAGACAACCAGTGTCTTTCCTGCAATGGGATGAAAGATGACGTTGTTGTCTTAGTATCTGCTGTGGACTCTGGGAGTCAGAACTGACTGATTATGTACTGTTGCTACTGATGCAATCATGGCAAGGTGACCTCTGTTGGAAACTTCACTGTGACTTTGCTATTTGAAGTCAGTGACAGGGCTTGTGATTGACAATTAGGAAATAAAAGCAAGTCCCCTCAGGTTGAAGAATGAGAATTAAATTCGATGCTCAGTAAATTAGCCCAAGCTCCATTCTCTTTCACGCTTTCTCCTTAGGCTGGCAGGGTTGCCATGGAAACAGAGACCTCTTCTCTGTGGATCAAATGTGTTGTGAAAATGGCAATCTCTAATCTACATATCTGGTTTCACTTCGATTACACATTTGTTCCACTATTCACGCTGTCCTTTTTCATGTGTTCTAAAACCCCTACCTAGTTACTGAATAAGGAATACAGGTCGGGACTGCTACACCATATGGGAGAACTCATTCCTTTATGCATGGCGGGGCATTTTTTCTTTTATATTTTGGGAGGGGGGATTGAAGTTTTAACTACAAAACCACACACACTCACCACAGTTAAATTGCTACAGTACACATTCTCTTTTTATCAGCTTTCCTCTCCTCCTGCTTTTATTCCTTCTTAGAGGCACCGCACATAAAACAGACTGATAGACTCCTAAATGTTCTTGAGTATATTTTTCTTTCATTTTATTTATCTATTAATCATCTATCTATCTATCTATCTATCTATCTATCTATCTATCATCTATCTATAGGTTTAGGCATAGATGAACCCCATTATGCCTATATGTATATACTTGCCTATACATATTATACATATATATACATATATGTATACACATATGCACATATATACACATATTTATGCATGCAATTCTTTCTCAATGGGGATGTAACCCAAGGCCTTGTGCATGCCAGGGAAGTTCTCTACTCCAAGCTCAATATAAGAGCCAAAGGCAGTGGGTGACTAAACAGTGATCTCTGGACTCAGCTTAGGCCAGTAGCACATATGGACTCATGAAGTTGTGACATCAAGCTCGAGACCTGAGCAAGCTGAAGCCAGACAAAATCCCAGCATGGCATGGCGGAAATGGGCATAAAACTGCTGAGGGAGGGAGGGAGAGTCAGTTTTCTTTGAGGGTGTTACTCCTGGTGGGTCAATCATGCTCCAGTGGATGGTCAAACACCCCGAGTATTTGGCAACTGAAACTGGACTCAATGAATTAAGACAAATAAAAAGACAAACTTGGGTGGGTGGAGAAGGGAGGTGGACCTGGGAGGAGTTAATGGAAGGGAGGGGAATATGATTGTGTGAAATTCTCAAAAAACTAATAAAACATTTAAATCTCATGAGACAACCACAAACCCTGCTTCCTGAACTTTCCTTCCTTGTTAGGATACAGTTGCTAATTTCCCCAGGATACACGAGTAGCTATCTGATACTTTATTTCTGCACAACATTCCATTGCATAGATCAAACTATTTAACTACTGTACTGTAGTTTATCAGAGATTAATCCAGCTTTTACCATTATGAATATATTTGTATGTGAGTAAATATTTCTGTGGAGAGGTGCAGCTGCTGTCCAAAGGGGCGTGCATCCACATCCCCTTACATTCATGGCACAGGACTTGGTAAATTATTCTCTTCTTGCCTGTACCATTTTACAGTCCAGCTCTTCAGTCCTAAGCATGTCCCCCCTTCTTCCCCTCCCCCAACAACTCTGTCAATATTACTGATTTTATCAATCTCAAGGGAGGGAGTACTATCTGTTAACTTACTGGCAAGATGGAAAAGCTTTCACTAAACTAATTTTGATATTGATTCCTGGGAATCTTCACTTAATACGCTTTGCTGTTTTTCCTTGCATATGCTCATCTTTTTCTTCTTGATTTGTTGAGGTCTTTACATATGATGGACATTTATATTTGGTAATAGTGTTGCAAATGTCTGACTGTGTAACTAGTCCTTAAAGTCTTGTTTGGTATCTTCATTGATAAGGAATTTAAAACAACTTTATCTAGTAAATGCTGTCAATTTTCTCCTTTGTAATTTTGAATTTTATTCTTGATTAAGAAATGTCTTTGTGCACTAGAATTATGAAACTGTCATCTCACATTTTCTTTTATGGTTTTAGAGTAGTTTTTCTTTTTCTTTTCTTTCTTTCTTTCTTTCTTTCTTTCTTTCTTTCTTTCTTTCTTTTTTTTTTTTGAAGATTTTATTTATTAGGTATACAGTCTTCTGCCTGCATGCCAGCAGAGGGCACCAGATCTCATTCAAGGTGGTTGTGAACCACCATGTGGTTGCCGGGAATTGAACTCAGGACCTCTGGAAGAACGTTCAGTGCTCTTAAGCGCTGAGCCATCTCTCCGGCCCTAGAGTAGTTTTTCTAAATACATCTTAATTAAACTAGGATTTGAGTTGATTCATTGGCTGTAGTGGAAAGCTTTAAAAATGGCTGTGCAATTATTTCAATACTATTTATTATCTTGAATTCTACATTGTTTCTCCACTACTGTAGAATTCTGGCTTTAAATTCTCTACATTATTTGGCTCTTTGTTGATCAGTTCATTTATAACTGCTTTCTTTTCATTATAGTAATGAAAAGAATGTTTAATGTTCAACCTCCAGGAGACAGAATTTTAGATCAATGTTCTTCATAGTTTTTTGGGGGAGTGAGCCTATTTGGGGATAACATTTCTTTCTGATTAATTTTGTAGCCAGCCTTTGTATTTTAAGTAAAAAGAACATAACTGTAATTTTCATAGATTGATAATACCAGTTTCTTTATAAAATTTTCTAGTTTATGCAATATACATCCTGAACATTTTTGATTGCTGTATGTTCTATCCTTGTAGTGCCTGTTCGGCACAGAATCTTGAGTTATGCTTCATTTGTATATTGCTTGCGTAAGGCAAAACGATTTCTTCACTGACCAGTTTGTTTGGTCACAGTCACTTTCCAGGTGTCTCCTATTGTGGAGACAAGCACGCCAGTTGTGAACAATGCGCTTTTTGTCTCTTTTCCCAATGACTGTACTTCTGACTTTCTTCTGACCTCCATCCAGTGTTCTTGGCAATCATGAGAGAAGTTGCCCAACTCTAAGGTGAATGCAGCTTGTATCACTCAGTGAACTGTCTGTCCTAGGCTTATTTATATGTCTTATATTTAACTGCTTAGGGCATATATGCTATAAAACAGAACAAGTCATCTTGGGACATGTTGTATGTCCTGTGGGACAATGTTGCTTTGTCCAGTGTGGGACTGGAGCAAAGTTAGTAGAGGTAGGATGTATCATGTCTAAGAGTCACACCTACAGAGTAAAATGGCTAAGTGGGACAACATCGGCCTCACATCAAGAGTTACCCATAATGGCCACAGAGATAGTGGGGTCGCCTCACTAGTGATGCCACCTGCTTGGGTATGTGGGATAAACCTTATTAGAAGAACTCTGCAATCCATAAACATGCCATTTGGCAAAGCCCTACATTTGGCTTACCCTAGACAAGGGTTATATTCTAAAGCTTTTTATAGGTGAACAAAATGAACTGTCCCAACTCTCCAAGAAAAGCATTGGCCAAGATTAAAGGTCAGAGCCACTGTTGAAATTAGATTTAGAATAACAATTTACTATGTTTGTAGATCCGAGCCAATAATCCTAGCTAGGCAAGCAAAACTTAAATGGCATCTAAGATGCTCTGATAAATTAAAAAGCATATGAATTCAGTATGCCTCTGAGAATAATTTGACTGCTCAGAGTATAAGATTTAAAATCCAATGTAGATCTCAAGACTTGTAACACCACTAAGATTTTAGATAAAATAGGTTTGATCATAATGACTCTAGAATTAGGAGACTAATATGAAGGACAAAGTTTTTCAGAATAGAGTAGGTAAGGCTTGGTAGGAGGCAACTTTACCTGCTGGACCATCTTGATAGTCCATGACTTTAAAACATGAAATTTTGTTTTCATATTCAGAAGAAAGCTATGGGAAACTCAAATGTACTCCAATAATTTCATATTATAGGACGTATATTTGTGTAGATTTTGTATACCATAGAATCCATGGGACCAGGATGTAGCTAAGATTGTCTCTCCTTTAAGTATTTCTGTGTCTCACCCTCCTGAGATGTGTCCTCGAACAAGTGCTGTTTTGATTTTCCACTGTTACCATCTTCCCTTGTGATTGTGGTAGTTTGGACTGGGAATGCTCCCCAGGGGGCCATATGCTAACGCACCACTGGGAGGCAGTAGAGACATCAGGAGCTGGGGTTGGTTGCCTATTCCCAGAAGGGGCTGTGGGACTCTGGCTTCTCCTTTTGCTTCTGCCCTGAGAATGCCTTCCTCTGTCATTTCCCTCCCTGTGAGGCTCAAAACAAATAGGTTGCTTTCCAAAACTGAGCCAAAATAAACCTGTCTTTAGAAAAATTACTTCTTTAAATTTTTGAGGTTGTAATTACATCATTTCTCTCTTCCATGTCCTCCCTTCAAACCTTCCCATATACCCATCCTTACTTCCAGATTCATGGTCTCTTTTTCTTTGATTGAAATACACGCACACACACATATGTATACACACATATATGTACACACACATATTTGTACACACACATATATTTCTAAATACAACATTCTCAGTTTGTACAGTGTTACTTCTATGTAGGTTTTCAGAGCTGACCATTTGGTATTGGATAACCAATTGTTTTGCTCTTCCCTGGGGAAGACTGTTTCTCTCATTCCCAGCCTTCCTGGTTGCTGTAGTTCTTTGCATAGGGTTGAAGCTCCCTGTTCACATTAGCATGTCTATTGTACTTTTTAAAAATATATTTCTTTTTATGTGCATTGGTGTTTTCCCTGCATTTATGTCTGTGTGAAGGTGTCAGATCCCCTGGAACTGGAGTTACACACAGTTGTGAGTTGCTGTGTGGGTGCTGGGAATTGAACCCATGTCCTCTAGGAGAGCAGCCAGTGCTCTTAACCTCCGAGCCATCTCTCCAGCCCCTATTGTTGTCCTTGTTCAACAAGGTGAGACTTTATGGGTGTAGCTTTTGATATTCCTAGGAGACACAGCCTTACAGCAAACTCCCTGCTCCTATGGCTCTTACAGTCTTTCTATTCCATCTTCTGCAATGACCCCCTAGTCTTAGGTGTGGGACAAACATATCTTCTTAAAAATTTGGTTGTCTCAGGTGTTTTGTTATAGTAATGAAAAACTGACTGACCTTTGTCTTTCCTTTGGGAACATAATAAATTCCAGAAGCCCTCAGAAGAAAGTAGCGCCGTTTCCAGGATTTCTTTCCATCTTCTTTCAAATAAAGAGCTCCTTCGAGTTCTGGTACGATGATGGATGTGCCACAGAAACTTTCCTGAAATTGGAATCCAGAGGCATAAAACACAGATTCTGTTTACCTTTAAAGAATAATCCCAGTTTAAGTCAATTCTGTTGGAAATGGATGGAACACCTTTCCTTTACACAGAGAAACCCTGTCTCGAAAAACCAAAAAAAAAAAAAAAAAAAAAAAGCAAACCAAAAGGGAGAATAAATATTTTATTGCCATTAAGTAGTAAAATTATATAATTCTACAGTATTTTATTTTATTTTTAAAAATATTTTACTATTTATTTTTACATCTGTTCAGTCCCCAGATTGGTGTTTTATTATTGGATGTTTTCAAACATGATAAAGGCTATTACTAATGCTATAGGAAACAGGAAAAAACACATTTTCTAGTTATAGATTTTCAAAATGTAAAACTTGCATGGAAGCTCTGTCCTGCTCAGAGACACCTGAGGCCTGGGAGTCAGCGCAATGCTGATCCCATCCCAGTGGGATCCAGCCCACCCAGAGACTGCAAGGGTCTCTGCCCACAGGACTAGGTGAGCTTGGGCCTGTTTGCAGCCCCCTTTCCTCTGCCCTGATTGGAGACACCTGAGGTCTGGGGACTGCGCACTGAGGATCCCATCCTGGCAGAATCCAGCCCACCCAGAGTCTGCCAAGGCCCCATCCCAGTCCTGCCTCCATTAATGGGAAGAAGAGAGACATCAGAGTATTGCACCTGTTTGCACCCACTGGAAGGGAACCTTAGTCCCGTACCCACCAGGAGAGGAAGAAGGCATGGGAAGAAGACAATATATAAACACATTCAACAACAGAAAAACCAATATGACACCACTGGAGTCTAGGGACTCTACACCAGCAAGACCTGAACATCACAGTGCAGATGAAGCAGAAGCAAATGACCTTAAAAACAACTTCATGAAAATGATAGAGGATATGGCAAAATCCCTTAAAGAAATGGAAGAAAAAACAAACCAAAAAATACAAGAAATCAACAGATTTCTTAAGGAAACAGGTCAAGACCTAAAAACTGAAATAGAGACAATAAAGAAAACACAATCGGAGGGAATGCTGGAAATAGAAAAGCTGGGTAAATGATCAGGAACTACAGATGCAAGCATAACCAACAGAATACAAGAGATGGAAAAGAGAATCTCAGGTATTGAAGATACACTAGGAGAAATGGACTTATTGACCAAAGAAAATCTTCAGTCCAACAAAATCCTAACACAAAATATCCAGGAAATATGGGACACCGTGAAAAGACCAAACCTAAGAAAAATAGGTATAGAAGAAGGTGAAGAAACCCAACTCAAAGGTGCAGAAAACATATTCAACAAAATCATAGAAGAAAACTTTCCCATGCCAATGAAAGTACAAGAAGCCTACAGAACACCAAATAGAGTAGACCACAAAAAGTCCCCTTGCCACATAATAAGCAAACCCCCAAACATACAGAATAAAGAAAGAATATTAAGAGCAGCTAAGGAAAAAGGTCAAGTAACATAAAGGCAAACCTATCAGAATTACACCTGACTCTTCCGTGGAAACTCTGAAAGCCAGAAGGTCCTGGATAGATATTCATGGACTCTAAGAGACCATGGATGCCAGCCCAGACTACTATACCCAGCAAAGCTTTCAATCAATATAGATGGAGAAAATAAGGTATTCCATGGCAAAACCAGATTTAAACAATACATATCCACCAATCCAGCCCTACAGAAAGTTCTGGAAGGAAAACTTCAACCTAAGGAAGTCAACTACAACCAGAAAAATACAGGCAATAGAAAATCCCACTTTACTAACAGCCAAAAGAAAAAAAAGGGTGCAAATCCACACACAATTCCACCACCAACAGCAAATACAAAATAAAAATGAACAATCAATGGTCATTAATATCCCTCAATATTAATGGTCTTAACTTGCCTTAACAGGCTAGCAGAATGGATATGAAGATAGAATCCATCCTTCTGCTGCATACAAGAAACAGCTCAACTTTAAAGACAAACGGCACCTCCGAGTTAAGGGTTGGGAAAAGATTTTCCAATCAAATAGACCCAAGAAACTAGCAGGGATAGCAATCCTAATATCTAACAAATTAGACTTTAAGCTAAAATCAATCAAAAGAGATGAAGAAGGTCATTTCCTACTCATCACAGGAGAAATCCTTCACGGCGAAATCTCAATCCTGAACATCTATGCCCCAAATACAAAGGCATCCACATTTGTAAAAGAAACATTACTAAAAGGAGAAAGGGACAAGATCTCCTGAGCAAATTGGGAGCATGGGGGAAGGGAGAGGGAGCGAGGAGAATGAGAAGGGGAGCAGAGAAGGGGTGAGGAGGACATGAGGGAGCAAGAAGGTTGAGTTGGAGGAGGAATAGAGAAGGGCAAGATAAGAGATACCATAATAGAGGGGGCCATTATGGGTTTAAAGACAATTCTGGTACTAGGGAAATGTCCAGAGATCTACACGGATGACCCCAACTAACAATCTAAGCAATAGCCAAGAGGATACTTTAAATGATCTTCTCCAATGATGAGATTGATGACTGCCTTATATGCCATCCTAGAGCCTTCATCCAGTAGCTGATGAAAGCAGAGGCAGACACCCACAGCTAAACACTGAGCTGAACTCTGGAATCCAGTTGCAGAGAGGGAGGAGTGATGAGCAAACGGGTCAAGACCATACTGGAGAAACCCACAGAAACAGCTGAACTGAACAAGGAGTTGCTCATGGCCCCCAGAATGATAGCTGGGAAACCAGCATAGGACTGTTCCAGGCCCCCTGAACGAGGAGGTCAGTTTGGAGGTCTGGACAATCTATGGGGCCACTGGTAGTGCATCAGTATATACCCCTAGTACACAAACGGACTTTGGGAGCCCTCTCCATATAGAGGGATACTCTCTCAGCCTAGACACATGGGGGAGGGTCTAGGCCCTGCTCCAAATGATATGACAGACTTTGAAGATCCCCCATGGAAAGCCTTACCCTCCCTGGGGAGCAGAGAGGGGTTGGGATAGGGAGTCAGTTGGGGGGCAGGGGAGGAGGGGCAGGAACTGGGATTGACATGTAAAACAAGTTTGTTTCTAATTTAAATAAAAATTTTAATAAAAAACTTGCATGGAAATGTGCAAATCTCAATAAATTTCTTTTTTAAAAAGCCCTTGGATAAACTGCATATTATTCTATCTTTTTGTTTGGACACTCAATTACTATTTTCTTTTAATATTATAATTCTTACTATAGATTCATAAATGCGAAATAATTGAATTTTTCATCCTTCAGAATAAACCTCTGCACAGGAGAGCCAGGAGAACAACTCTGAGTACATTTCTCCCAGCAAGCCAAGTTGGCTTGTCAATCATCTATTAAGATTATTTGAATTTTTGGCCTAAAGCTGATAGAACAATGTATAACTTTCCATAACATAACAGGTTTTGTATTTTCATTCACATTCAGCTATGTATGATTTTGAAATCTAATCCCAAAGACTATTCATGCAACTGTATCAATTCACACACAAGCAAGTGTTCTCTTGTAGACAGGGAATGTCTAATCATTGGTTAAAATAAGTGGTTGTGGAAGGAAAATGTTTTTTTTCCATGACTTGGTCTCCACCATCACTGATCTGTTCAGAATCCTTCCCATCTTCACTTTTGGGGACACCTGATATTTTCTTCATCATTCTAAAGCAATAGTTCTCAACCTTTCTAATGCTGAGACCCTTAATACAGTTCCTCATGTTCTGTTGACCCCCCAACCATAAAATTATTTTCATTGCTACTTCATAACTGTAATTTTGCTATTGTTATGAATCATAATGTAAATATCTGATATGCAGATATATTTTCATTGCTACAAATTGAACATAATTAAAGCACAGTGATTAATCACAAAACAATATGTAATAAAAATAGCTTTAATAATTCAAAAGATACAGGGCATAGTTCAGGCAATACAGTTCTTTAAAGTTTCTATGATTTGCTAGTATTCAATCAACCACAAGTGAATATAAAAAGACTGATCAGCATCCAGATTAAGTTCCCATGGAGATTTTACAGTACATGATTTTGCATTTACTCAGTAATTAGAATTCATGAGTTGTGATTTTCCCTCCAATATTGCTCCTTCCAGCACTGTGGCTGCTCTCTACACATGTATGATTGACCTATATAAATACATTATGATGCCAATCCTATCACATATACCTGTATGTTTAGGTTGTATGTGATGGGTTTGGAGCAATGATGTCTTCATGTACGTGGACAGACCCACCTGGAGATGGATAGAGGAACATTGTCTCAGTTCCTATGACCATCAGAAATGTGTTTTACAGTGGTCTTAGATGACCCCTGTGAAAGTGTCATTCAACCCTAAGGTTGAGAACCGCTGGTCTAGAGTCCAGTGGCTGGAAGCAGAAAGCACATCTCATTTTCATTGTTGAAATGCCCATTGCATTTACAGAGCAGAACCAGGCCTGGAAAAGCATGTTCAGGACCTTGGGAAATGGCATCCAGGTCAACCTGCTCTAGTTTTGGTCTAGACCTTTTAGAATGTGACACAGAATGGAAACACAGGAGGAAGTGAAACCACCAGGGAACAGAATATGGAGCTCTTTAGTGTCAGCGAATTGGTTCCATAGGCTCTGTGTTTATCACTAGGTCTGCACTTCCAAGAGACAAGCCTATTAATTCAAGACAGATCAACATTACATTGGGAGTGAATCAAAGTCAACTTGTCTGGGGCTCTAGGATGCCCATGTGTAACCTAAGACCTGAAAGAGGGTCTCCATCTTTAGCATCATTGCCTTAATAGCTTCCAACAAAGTCCACTGTCAGAGAACTTCTGGAATGTGCCTCTCAAAGGCACTGGACATTCATCACCACTAGGGTTCTGTGGTAATCCCTTATGATTTGCTATTGGAGGCTCACAGAGACAAGTTCTAGTTATTAGCACATGAACAACTCAGGCAGAGTCACACCCTAAGTCATGTCTCTACCTCTAGACCTCACATGTGAAGAGCCTCACGGAAGACAACGATTTGGAAATCCGTACATCTCATTCCATAGAGTCCTTCTGAAGTGGAACATACATGTCACAGTGAGTTTTATGATGATCCATGTCTTTTTAGTGAAAGAATTACTAATTCAATTTCATAAAAGCAAACTATTTTATCTAAAGTTGCACTTTATTACAGCTGACTCAAAATAGCCATTGAATTATTTAGATGACTATCATTTGGTGATAATTAGCATTTACAACCAAATTTTATGGAGTGTTTCAGAATTTTCCATTGTTGTGTGAGCAAATAATTTAACAGATCCAGTAAATGTCCTTTGCATTTATTGCACTTTGCAAAGTGAAGCTTACCTCAAGTAAGGTTTCTTTGTTTTTAGCATTCATTTTCTCGTTGGTTTCTTTGTTTTCTTTTTTCCCCTTGTTATCCAAGTAGAAATTCTAGATAAAACATTAAGAGTTCAGATTAGCAAGTATTCATTACTACAGTGGATACTGCATCAGACTCGAGATCTTGCTGGAGAGAGATGTTTCTATGTAAGAACATAAACAAAATAGAACTGTAGTAACTCTATTAGTGAAGCAACAGGACCAGCTGCTGCATCACCCAGGCTCAAGAAAAATCTTAGCTTCTTCCCAGAAAGCAGAACAGAAAATATTAGCAAAAGGGTGTGACACCATTTTATTGTTAATTTCCATATGTTATGAACCTCAGTGTCAAATACTGAAAGCTGAGGGGCACTCAGGAGAAGCCCAGGGCTGGGGTGAAGTTTGAACCTTTGTCCAAGTTCAGCAGGAGAACGACTCTGGTCAATGAGTGCAAGTCCTCAGGTCTTAGGGCTCGATGTTTGTTTCAGGTGATGAAAGTCAGGACATACTCTCTTACCATGTAGCACATGGGTGTTAGAACTATAGTAAGAGGGAGTGTCAGAGGCTAAAGCATGGGACACCTGGCTCCTGGTATATGATGCTTGTCATGTTAGTTACAAAAGGCTGAATTAAAAAATGGGTGCTGAGAAGGCCAAGAACACTTTTGTTCTGAAGTGTGCCTAGTGTGACACTGTGGAAAAGGAAGGCAAACACAAGGTGGACCAATCTCCTGGGTCTGTTTGGGACTGGCCTCTCTATATGATCTCATTAGATGCCAACAAGAGCATAGGCTTCATGCAGGAGAAACTACACCTACAGACTATTTGGAGAATCTCAACCATGAATATGCTAAAGTTCTGTGACATCAAAATTCTCTATAGTTTCTTTACATTATTTTGAATTAAATGCAAACTCAAAAATAGCTACAGAAAGATTATTTGTCCTACATGGATAGTAGAGAGCATGAGTTACCTGTTATTAATTCTTCTTGCATCCCAGCTGGTCATGGGCCTTGAATAGGCCATTTACTAACCATTATTCATAAATATTAAAATAAAGTAGCAGTCAGTACCTAAGGATGCATGTTCTCTTCTGTTAGAAACTGCTGTGTAAGCTTTGAAGCCTATGGGGCTTATTCAGGGCTTATTATTACTATTAGTTGCATTTTTGTTTAGTAGTAAGAGAGAAAGTGAAACAAGGTGTGGTAGTTTTAATGTAATTGGCCCCCATAATCTCATCGTGAGTGGCACTACTAGGAGGTACGGCTTTGTTGGAGTGGGTATGGCCTCATTGGAGGAAGTGTGTCACTGTGGGGGTGGTCTTTGAGGTTTCCTATGCTAAGGATACCACCCAGTGTCTCAGTGAACTTTCTGTTGCCTGCAAGATGTAGGACTTTTAGCTACTATGTCTGCTTGCACACACACTGCCATGCTCCCCATCATGATGATAATTGTAGACAGAAGTTTCTGTCCTATCCAGTTCCACAGCCCTTTAGTCCCAAATAAACAAACTGAAGCTTATGTAAATTATAAATTGTTTTGCCTATTGCTCAGGCTTACTACTAACAAGCTCTTACAACTTAAATGAACCCATAATTTTTATCTATGTTTAGCCACGTGGCTTGGTACCTTTGCTCAGTAAGGCATTCTTATCTTGCTTCCACTGTGTCTGACTGCAATTCACTTTCTGTTTTCCTCTTCCCAGAATTCTCCTAGTCTGGTAGCTCTACCTATACTTCCTGCCTAGCTACTGGCCAATCAGCGTTTTATTAAACCAACATGACTGACAAATCTTTACAGTGTACAAGAGTATCATCCCACATCAGATAATGGACTAAACCTCTGAAACTGTAAGTGAGCAACCCCAATTAAATGTTTTCCTTACAAGAGCTGCTGTGTTCATGGTGTCTCTTTACACAGTAGAAACCCCCACTAAGACACAAGCTAAAGCTGAACTGGGTCATCATTTGAATTGTATACAGATTCTAAACTAATTATTGAAGTGCATCTATTGACTATGAAGTCCCTGGGAAAAGACCTTCTTTCCACAGAGTTTGTTTATAGACCATGAGTGTACCTATAAGGTTAGGATTACTATCTTCTCTTGACCCTAGTATTCCATTGCTTAGCCTAGTGGCATGAGAACTGTCTGGTTGTGGTCATGCTATGGTTATATTAGTACATTAATTTGCATTCAATACTTGTTCAGCTATTACTCTTATGGCATTTGGAATGGTTACTTTATTTTGAGGCTTACATGTTCTATTAAGCTGGTGTTTCCCCAAATAAAGTGAAGTGGATGATTATTTTTTAAAGGTGGGGAAAAAAGATGGGGCTGGAGAGATGGTGTAGCACTTAAAAGTGCTTGCTGTTTTTTCAGAAGTCCCAGGTTCGGTTCATAGCACCTATATCAGATGGTTTAAAACCACCTGTAACTATAGTTCTAGAGGATCTGATGCCCACAGGTCTCAGAGGGTACCTACATAGACAGGGACACACAAACTCTTGATGTGTGTACACACACACAAATAAAGGTAATACATTAATACTAAAAAGCAAAGAAAAAAGGATAGACTTAACAGCAGCTTATCTTAAAAGTCATTAAGACTACCAATTAACAAATGGGACTGCATAGAGTGAAAACACTTCTGGATGGCAAAAGATAGCATCATTCAAGAAAAGAGGCAGCCTACAGAATGGGGAAACTTAACCAATTATACATTTGGCAGAGTGTTAGTATCTAGAATATCCAAAGAACTCAAAAAAAAAAGCAAACAACAACAACAACAAAAAGCCAATCATCAAGAAAACAAACGACCCAATTATAATTCAGGGTTTGCAATAAAACAGAGTTCTCAAAAGATGACACACTAACAGCTGATAAATATTTAAAAAAATGTTCAACATTACCAGCGGTCATGGAAATGCAAATCAAAACTAGTTTGAGATTTCTTCTTCACCAAATGGCTAAGGTCAAGAAAAACACATGACAGCACACACTGGTGAGGATTCAGGAAAAGGGCAACATTTATTCACTGCTGGTAGGAGTGTGGCCATTATGGAAATCAGTGGGGGTTCCTCAAAAATCTGAGAACTGACCTATCTACTGGATTTTATAGTATAAAAATCCAGCTATACTACTCTTAGGCATGTACCTAAAGGTTTCTGTTCCTTACTACAGAATTACCTGCTCATTCATGTTCATGGGTGTTTTGTGTATAATAGCCAGAAAATGGGAATACCCAAGATGTCCATAAACTGATTGTTAATAAAAATGTGGTACATTGTGCAATGAACTATTATACAGCTGTTTAAAAGTATAACTTGCAGAAAAATAAATGGAACTGGAAACAGTTGTCCTGAGTGAGGTAACCCAGACCCACAAAGACAAACACTATATATTTTCTGTCTTATAGGAATGTTAGCCTTTAGGCTTTGGATATATGTGTTTTGTTCAGAATACCAACACAGGTTAGGACAATGGGGTGGAGAGGCTCTTTCAAGGAAGGGGAAATAGAATACAGTGTTGTAGAAAAATAGAAGAGAAGATTAAATGGAGTGGAAGATAAGAGGGCAGGCAAGAGGAGGTAATATGGGAGGGGGATAACTAACAATAATGTCTTTTGAAAAAAATATGGAAACCTTGCCATTGTAGAAGCTTACTAAAACATACACATATATAAAAGGAGCTTATATAATTCTATACTGTGGAGACAACACCCAAACCAGACCAAATAAAAAACCTAGTACCAAGAATGGGTTGCATATTTTTGAGCCATTGGCCAAACACATTCCATAGACTCCCCAAACATGATGGTTGGTTGGCAATGCTATTGGTTACTGTCTAGCACTTGACAGTAAAACTCTATTACTAAAGACAGCAATTGGGTCATAGAACATGAAGAAATCTAGCTCAACCAGAAGCTTCATTCCTACTAACCAGTATTCATATTTGTGGAAGGTTCTAGACACACTACTGGAAGAGAAAAGTAATCATCAATCCCATTCAACTGTGAACCCTGTGAGCTACAATAATTACCTGCCCACAAAGATATGCCCTCTGATCCAATAGTGGAACAAATGCTTTGGGAGCAACCAACCACTTTGATTGGATTTAAGGCCTGCTTTACAAGATGGGACTCATACTTGATACTGATAATGAAGTCAAGAACTTGAGGTTAGACAAGTATGAGGCCCTATGGGAAAAGCTACTACTATTATTTTGCTAAGTGGGCATAGCAATAAAACAACTCCTGATGACATACTGCCATGCCCACTCAATGTAACACTCAAATCCCATAAGAGTAGATTCTTCTTGTAGTAAATGGTAGCCAACACAGAAATGCACAACAGTTCAATGTGCAGAGAATAAGAGACTTTGGAATGTTCAGCTCTGAAAGAGATATCTATGTTATACCCATTCCTGTAAAAGTTCTGGGAGCTATGTGGAAGAGAGGACAGAAAGATTTTAAGAGAAAAAAAAGAAAAAAAAAAGATTGTAAGAGCCAGAGGTGGTGAACAACTTCAAGGAAACAGTGTTTTCCTGACACAACAGGGGAGACACACACATAGGATCACTGAGACTGTGTCATCAGCATGCACAGGACATGCCCAAGCTCAAACCAGACAAAATCTCAGTGTGGAGGAGGGGAGGTGGGCATGGAGCCCCACTCCTAGCTAAAGAGCTATTGGCATTTGATTGTTATCAAGAAAGTGCCTTAGTTTGTTTTCTACTGCTGTGATGACAGGGAAAGTCAATTTTCTTCAGTTCAGTGACACCAGAGAAGGCAGTGGGTGGTGGGAGACAGAGAGAAAATCATGTTTGGTGGGTAAGGAGTTGAGGGAAGATCTGGGAGGAGTTGAGGAGAGGATGAGTATTATTAAGATATATTGTATGAAATTATCAAAATACAAAACATTTTTTTTTTTTGATCCACCTGCCTCTGCCTCCCGAGTGCTGGGATTAAAGGCGTGCACCACCAACGCCCGGCTCAAAACATCTTTTAAAAGGCTACTGAAGAGAAAGAGACACAGCCTTATTTATTACAAGCCAAACATCTCATGGCTTGAGTC